TATATATGCTTATACTATTAATATGGACAACAGCACACGTACAAGATACATCCATAGTTTACGATATTTTGTACCTGAGTGAAAAAGCAGATGGGACAATAGGCACCAAAATTTGGTGTCCACGCTGTGTCAGTCTCAAATCCATCGGTGCTGTGACTCTGCAGAAGCCACGCACGAATTGAGTCTTCGGTACACCGGCAAGTGGTGTTGCTGAGGTGACAGTCAACCACGTTTTAATCAGAGTCAGGGCCATGTTAGCGACTCTATTTGAATTGAAGGATATAGTGACTTTCTGTGCTGCTGTGATGAGCTATCCCAACTATGTATTGTTCTCAACATTTATGGACTATCAAACATAGAAAACGGGGGTGAGGTGTTTCAGTTTTGGACTTTTGGCCCAATGGTGTACCGAACTTCTGAAGTACCGAACTACACAGAGGTAGGCACATGAACACCTGATGTGACAGAGATAAGTAACACAAACGGATATCAATGCGCAGCAGTCGGCACTCGGCAGTACCACCACTATACACAGTACTGGTGGTTTCTCCCTACGGGCCAAGTCCTGTAGAGGTCTAAATAGAGGAGCGACCACAACTCGACTGACGATTTCAAGTGAAGTGCGAATGTAGAGTGCTATTTACTTTTACAAAAAAATTAACACCAAAATAGTGCGAGTCTGACAGTTTGTGACTCTGTGACTCTCATCACTGACAACAGCGCCAAGAACCATGACATCTAGATCTGCCATAGTTATTTGAATATCTATGGCAGATCTAGATCTTGGGTTGACGGTTTGTCCAATTTCTGAGTCTGACTATGTGATCCAGTGATTCTCAGAGACTCGAAGTTCGATTCCGATGATATTTCAATTTATATTCGATACTCTACTCTATTAAAAATACTCGATGAATACATAAGAATCGTGAGAACCTATGTGGGGTCACTGTTTCACTGCGAATGGCGCACTGGCTACAGAGCCTCATGGGTCCCTATTTACACACTTACTTCCCCTATAGTGAATACTGGGCTGTGGGAAGTGGGCGCTTGAGGCCTCAACAGCAGTGAGAAGTACCACACGAGGCACGGACAATGGCCAAAAGACATCATTTTTTATTTGAACGATACACATGTATGTCAAGTTGTGTAGAATACGCGCACCTACTACAGTACTCGAAGAATATACAAAGTGTCGGGTATGAGGAGACGAGATCGTGACAGGCAGATTCTAAATTTATTCATTTCGTTCTGCATTCCTACTTCACGAGCATGACAATACATCTAATGACGCCACCCGAACGAAACCGTTCCAGGTATCTATGGCGTGACAGACACCCAGACTACCTGGAGCTAAAGAATGGAAATCCTCAACAACCGCAGAACAAGCCTTCCTATGGTGAAGATCCACCAACACAGTAAGCATCGCCCTGTACGCCAGCTGAGTGCAGGTCGATTCCGATCTTACGCTGCACGCACATATATATATATATATATATATATATATATATATATATATATATATATATATTATATTATATATATATATATATATATATATGTATACATATATATAATGATACCTTCTGCCCACCCAATCTATAGCCACATATCTATTTCGATGGCATACTCTCGAATGGATTTGAAAGATTCCAAACACACCATGTGAAGGTAAAACGACACCGGTTCCATTCGCATCGCTTGTACCCGTCCAACTAAGTTCGACTAAGCCGTACTTGCCCTAATGAGTCTCTACATAAAAGCACATGCACAAAGCAGCCCGGCCGCAAGCAGAACCCTGAGCCTGGCTAAACATTATTGTACTTCTTTGGTCCTGAACAGGTCACCCTGCTGCCATGGCGCATAGTAGTCATGGAATCCTCCAATATGCACACTCCATGACATACGTACATCTGTACGCACCCTAACGTGTTTAGCTGGCTTGGTTTCTTACACTCGGTTGTTGGAGACTTACTAGTTGCAACTCTCCTCAGCACTACGTGCACATAGATGAAGGGGTCCAGTCCGATGAGTGACTGACTGACTGACTGTTACTACACATCGCTCTACCTAGCAGTCAATCAGCACATCTGCAATGGACAACAAAGCCATTCACATGGTACTGTGGTGCTCGTGGGGTTCTAATGGTTGTGTGTTTGGTAACGGCGTGAAATTTGTTGGTTCGACGAATGATGCTACTACGCGGCCCATACGAGACCCTCTCACTGCCCTCATTGCCGATGTGTGTGCTGTCATGTGTGAAGGTGAGCAGTGCAGCAGCAGCGCTACAGTAGAAGATCTCGTATATCCACAAAACTCGCACCGGTGTGTGTGCAATGGTGAACAGCATTCCCCTATCCTGGGCACAGGCCACTCAGTATGCGTTGGCAATGTCAGCCGAGGTACTTCTCTGGTCCGTGTACGTTGACTATCCGTGCGCAGCCAGACATGCATGTGCCACAGACGGCTCTAGTTGGGTGTGCACAAGCCCACACCGCTGCTGTCGAGTGTGTCTCCTGCGTGTCTCAGTAAAGACCACATCACCACCCTCTATGCTACCTCATTCCTCGAGCTTCTTTAAGGAACGATCGCAGGTTTTTCCTGAACTGGTTGGCGCTGCCTTTCTTCTCTAGCTCCAGCGCGAGGCCCTGCAGTTGAGACAAAGGGTTGTATGTAAGACTTAGCTTTTTCTTGTGTATAAACTTAGTTATGGTATATCAAAAAGGTCAGTATGAGTTGTGTTACATTTGCATTCTGAGGAAAACTGGTTGGCTTCTGAAAGTGTGGTTCGGAGACTCGAAAGCTGTTGCTTGTTCGACAACGAAATCAGTTGAGAAAATATTGAATACACATGATACTATCTCTGAAATCCTACCCGATCGCGCTATTGAGCACGCGCACATACACAGCAAATTGATGAAGATGTACTACAGACTATCACATGGTACAAGCTACTATAAAAAACACCACAGTCAGTGAGGTAAACCAGTGAGGTAAATAACACTCTTCTGTTGGTAAAGTCAACCCATGGCACAATGTTGATGGACAACACCTCAGGTAGTGGGAGAAACAAAATACGCTTATCTATTGTTGGAGACCAGTCCCCGCTGGCAAGTGCATGCGTGGTTCATGCGCAAACAATACCATTATTCAAGAGACTATCATACAAGTAGGTATATATACAAATAACATCCCCAGTATAACATAATTACACATACGACTCAACTAGTACATACAGGTAACCCCCCCACCCCCCCCCCCAAAGCCCCCCCCAAAGACAGTGCTAGAACATAGACATACCATGGCCAGTTGTGGTGTGACGTTGAGGGACGGTAGCACGGCCTGCCCCAGGTACACGTGGAAATCCGGTCCTAACCGCTTTTCCAGATCTGCGAGAGAAAAAAATCGGGATTTGGTCCTCAGTCTGAGAGAAAAACTGGATTCATACACGGCAACGCCTCATGATATACACACACCTGTAGATCCGCATAAACTAGGCACACACACATCTGTAGATCCACAGAAACATAGGCACACACACACCTGTAGATCCACATAAACATAGGCACATACACACCTGTAGATCCACATAAACATAGGCACACACACACCAGTGCGGCGAACACGTATAGCCACACGGACCACAAACTGCGATACACACACACACCTGTAAATTCACATAAACATAGACGCACACACACCTCTCAAGAACGCAGACACAGTATTGGTCAGCAGCAGGCTTGCTTGGGCGTCGTTGAAGTCGAAATCGGGTGATAGGATGGCCGCAAAGATAGACGGCAATACCGTATCCAGCACAAACTGCCGAAAGTCCACGCCGGCCTCTGCAAGCTTTACGCTGATGGGGTCCGAGGGTGCCAGGCCAAGCCAGTGCTGTGTGTAGGTAGGTATGAGCCAAGGAAACGGAGCATGAGTTCAGAAAACAGACCGCAGTTGTGTATGTACAAACAAGTCAGTGCTGTGTGTAGGTAGGTATGAGCCAAGGTAACGGTGCATGAGTTCAGAAGAACAGACCGCACTTATGTATGTACAAACAAGTCAGTGCTGTGTGTTGTGTGTAGGTAGGTATGAGCCAAGGTAACGGTGCATGAGTTCAGAAGAACAGACTACAGTTAAGTATGTACAAACAGATCAGTGCTGTGTGTAGGGAGGTATGAGCCAAGGTAACGGTGCATGAGTTCAGAAGAACAGACCACAGTTAAGTATTACAAACAAGTCAGTGCTGTGTGTAGGGAGGTATGAGCCAAGTTAACGGTGCATGAGTTCAGAAGAACAGACCACAGTTAAGTATTACAAACAAGTCAGTGCTGTGTGTAGGTAGGTATGAGCCAAGGTAACGGTGCATGAGTTCAGAAGAACAGACCGTAGTTAAGTATGTACAAGCATGTGTAAAGAGTTTGAATACCTTTGCTACCGCTGTGTGTATGTCGAACGCATGTGTGGAGGCACTGATACCAATGCACAAATCGCTACTGTGCGCGTGTATAGTGATTATGGGAATATGGGCTCAAAGGCACTCACCGATGATGTGTGTGTTTATGCACATGCCGTTGTTATGTGTGTTTAAGCACATGCCAACTTATGAGCTACGATACATAAACAGTTGCTATATGAATGCACAGGCATGTGTGTGGGTACGGGCACTATAGACTGCGCAACTGTGCGATGAGATCAGGTAGTGTGTATGCGAGTCTGTGTTCATCCATACGTGTGTGTATACATATCGATGGACTTCCCCTGTGCTTGTGTGCTATATGGGTGTGCAGTGCATGCTTGCAGGTGTTGAGAAGGTACATGGTGACCTATGTGCATGTGTTCATATGTATCTGGTGTCGATACGCGCACGCACCCATGCTTTGTGCCTTATAGAGCACCTTAGAGGACACTCTAGACATCTCTACGCCGCAACGGAGAAGCAAACATTCACAAACACCCCTGGACAATTGCTCTCAACGACACATGCAGGGCTACATTGGCACACACACACATGCATGCACACGCACACACACACGTGCACATGCACACGCACACGCACACACACACACACACACACACACGCGCGCGCATACGCACACGCACACGCATACGCACACGCATACGCATACGCACACGCACACGCGCACACACACACACAGACAGAGAAGCGCATGCAACACGTACAGGGGTACGTCACTTACAGTGCTGAGTGTGTGGAAGAAAGTAATGGCCATCTTCTGCGATGTGCTGTCTGAGGAGTCGCGCACACCCTCTAGGATAGTCGACAGCAACGCAGGCAGGCTACCAATGTTAGCAGGTGCATAGCTGTACATGTGAGAGGTAAGGGAGAACAGGGGACGTAAGCATATGCACAGGTGTTTTGCATCTATTCTTAAGAAGTATGTATATACCCTGTCTAATACTCTGTGTTTTTTGACTAAAATACACACGGGTGTTTT